AATGATATTAGCCATCTTCTTCCAGGAGAGGAAGCAGCAATTTGTATATACAAAATGGTCTATCTAACTCCAAAAGTCAATGGAGATCTAGCATCAATACTCTTCTTTCTTGAATCCAGCAAGGGAAAAGCTTGAATTAGGGGTGTTTGTTCTTGTGGTCTGAAGATGGCCTATGGGGAACCAAAGGTGGGTGAAGAATAAAGCTGGGATTGAGAGTTCTACAGAAACACTTCTTAAGGAAGGACTGCCCCAAGGAAAGTTAAGAATGATGGTCTGTAGTTGAGGCATAGAACAAGTGACTTTTAGGACATTTTTAATGGATTTGGGAAGAAGAAAAAAACTTCAGAGAGAAGTATCCATCAACATGTTTAAAACAACAGGGTTCCTCTTCCTATCAAATAAGCAGATCATTTCTCCAACTCTCTCTTTACAGATAAATTGTATTTTAGATTGGATTGAAAAATGCAGTGGTCAAAATGTGCAAAATGTGGCATGCATGCTTATTTTAGATATTTGTGCTAGGATTACGAGAGCTTTTCCTGCAAATAGAGGAGGAATAGTTCATTTTTTCCAAATGAAAACAGATTGGAATTTTCTTGGCTGCAATATACTTAGCTAATTCTGTAATTTAATCTTTCATGTGCTGCGAAGCCTGTATCATGGCAAGACCTAATTTTTAAATGTTATTAATATATCCACAAATACTCTGTAAGCAGGAGGACATAAGTATCTTGTGTTTATGGCTTTCATGCCAACAAATTAAATTAACTTTCAGGGATATCAAATAATTTTTCTCTGAATGAGTTTTGGATCTGCAACTCACATTCCTTGAATTAATTAATTGAATTCCTTGAATTGCAAGGGTAGGATGTTCTTGGGAACATCTTTGCCAAGACTTAATGCTACCACAATGTAAAGAATCCCCTAGCTTAAGGGGGTCAAATTCATCTGGCAGGGGGTGTTGGGCTCGTTTGTGCAGTGCTGTTGGGGTTTCAGTACTGTGGCTCTTGCCCAGGTGACTGGCTACTTCTGCAGAAATGTGTCCTGTTGTAGCCAGAGTTGAGGCAAAAGTCTGCAGGCTGTATCTGGCCTGTGAGCTATATGCATTGCCAGCAGATCAAGGGAAGTGATTATTTCTCTGTTTGGCATTGCTGAGACCACATCTGGAGTACTGTGTTTAGTTTTGCCCCTGCCCCCCAATACAGAAAGGATGTGAACAAGTTGGGGAGAGTCCAGTGGAAGGAAGCAGTAATAGGGGGCCAAGGCATATACCTTATGAGAGAGGTTGAGGGAACTGGACTTATTTAGTCTAGAGAAGAGAAGATTGAGAGAGAATTTAATAGCAGCCTTTAACTACCTGAGGGGAGGTTTGAAAGAGGATGGAGATAGACTGTTCTCAGTGGTGGTAAATGACAGAGCAAGGAGCAATGTTCTCAAGTTGCAGTAAAAGGAGTTTGGGTATTAGGAAAACTTTCTTACTAGGAGGGTAATAAAGCATTAAAACAGGTTACCCAGAGAGGTTGTAGAGTCTCCATCCTGGGAGGTTTTTAAGGCTGTGCTAGACAAAAACTTGGCTGCAATAAGCTACGGTGACATAGCTTGTTGCTATGGTGATATCGTATTGGCAGGCATGAACCATGATGCTGACACTGCTGCACGGTAGCTTGTTGCTACTACACAGTAGGGTTGGATACAACCCATGCACAGTAATGGTGGTTATTGTGCATTCATTTAGTATTTGCTATAGCAAATTCCTAACACACGCTATAGCAAGTACTAAATGACTGCACAGTACCAACTGTACAGTTGGGCTCATGTGTAGATGCACCCACTTTCTCAGTCTATTTTGTAAAGGTGAACATGGAGAAATTCAGAAAGAACATATCTCATTTCCAAGCATTTTACAAGTTGTTGGAACATTGTGTGTGTGTGTGTGTGTGTGTGTGTGTGTGTGTGTGTAAAAGACACAAACAGACAAACAAAAGACTTTCTTAACCTCCCATAAAAAATAAAAAAATCAGCCCACATGCTTAAACTTGACCTTGGGAACAAAGGAGACAATGCTACTGAACCTGGATCTACATTGAGAAGTGAACTTAAAATTGGTTTTGGATCAGTGGCTTTCTTCATACCTAGCTATTTTAAATGGCTCAAATATGCCAGAAATGATGGAATGAATAGTATTGCAAAACAGAAATCATTGGGAGTCAGTTCCTAACACACGCATTAAAAAAAACAAACAAACCGGCTACTTTTTTTTTTTGTATTATGGTTTCTGATTCACTCAGGCTACATTTTTCATCTTTCTCACAATTGTGAGGACTACAAACTTTTTCTTTAGAGGGCAAGGTGGGATGGAAAGAGGGTGAGCTGCTCAATTTTTGGGAGCTGGACCCTTAAGAGAAAACATCCGGTATCAAGACCTGTCACAATAGAATTGCAAGTTTTGGCCATTGTTAATTCATTGCTTCCAAGATTGTTAAATAAGGTCACATGCTTTAGGGGGCAGATACCATGTAATCCTGTGTAGGCCTAGAAACATCTAGCTTCATAGTTTCCTGGTGATCAGAGGCATTAGGTGGTTGTACAAGGCACAGAAAAGTAATAATTTACTTTGGAAAACTAGTTGTTTTTGTTTTTAAGGTGTTTTCAGTGAATTGGCAATTGTGAAGGGACTATCTGTAAATGAGAAATGGTGTGTTCTAGTTTTCTCTTCATCTCACTGCCCTTTCATTGCATTCAGTAGTCTCTTCAGGGGGTCAGAGTGAAAAATCTGACCTCTCCAGGGTCTGTTGTCTAAAAATAAAGCTGCTAAATTCTCCAGCTGAGTGGTAAGAAACCAGACCCCTGGCTAAACTTACTGAGCGCTTCTCAGATGAGTAAATAAAGATATCTTTGATCCACAGACCTTGCTAGGGGGAATGGCAGTACTTGTTTGTAAACAGAATGAAAAGCTACTGCATTTAGATAAATGTTCTCTGCAAAATTTCAGTGAGAACCACTGGGCAGTGTTTTAACCAACTGCCCAGTGACATATATATTTTGGTCCAGGCCCAGTCCTTAGAAGACCTGGGCTTGTCACAGTTCTTAGTCTAAGAAATTTGCTCTGCAGCTCAGTTGTACAGATCCTTTCTCTAATATCTGGGGCCTCCAGCTCAATTTGTTTGCCAAAAGGATAATTGTGTTAGGCAAATGTGTATTTACTTATACAGAATGGTCAAATGCACACAGAAATCTGTTTTTATTGTCTGTTTGCAAGTTATGGCAGAGGTTTTGTGCCTACCATATGATCAATGGTTTTATTTTAAAGTTTGTTCCATAGATCCATTGATGAATTCCCACTATTTTCCCTGTCTCACCCAGTGTCTCCCTTCCTCTGTTCTCCATAGTGGCCTGTTCCTAGTACCATTCATTTATCTGAACTCAGTGATGTGAATACTGTGTCTGGATCCTCTCTGCCAAAAAATGCCTCAATTATTTTGCATATTCATCCACTTACCTTGCCTGGAATGGAAATGAGAAAAAAGCTAATTCAGGTGTGTTGGAGTGGTTGGTGATTTAGTTAATCCAGTTTGCAGTAGAGGTACACCTATAGATAGCAAAGAAAGTCAATTAAACCTCACCTGTCTTTATCTGTTCTTACTGTTCTGACTTCCTTGCCTCAGGAGGACTTTATGGGACTGTTATAATGCAACAACCACTCTTCTTATGAGGTCTCTAATAGCTAGGGGAATGCTTCCTTGCAGTCCCATGACAGAGTCGCTGAAAAATATATAAAATAAAAATGTCTACAGTAAAAGTTTCGGGCCAAACACTGAAGTCCTTATTCGGCTTCTAGTCCTTAAACTGGAAAAGCGCTTGTTGAAAAAAATGGGAATACTGATGGAGTGAAAATTAAGGGCAAAATCTGAGAGCAGTGCTGGTTAGATGCTTGGGAAAGTGCTGCTTAGAAAAAGGAAATGGAAATGGCACATCAGTGAACTATCAAGATCACTATCATGAACACCATGTGCCACCAGAGGCTGGGGGGCATGGTGGCTGCCTGCAGGTGTCAGTGGTGGTGTCAGCAATGGGGGCATTTCTTTTCATTTGTGAAGGTTTAAAGCTGACGAAAAAACAACTTTATATAATGTTTCAAGGGACAGCTGTTTCAAGATGGCGGGAGCCACAATGGTTTGGTTTTTTTTTTTCCCTTTATTGAACAATTGATGAATTAATGTTGTTCTGTACCTGGAAAGATGCTTCATTTTTCTTCAGCTGCTTTAGACTGCTGGTTCCCCACTTCAGTCTCTGGGTTGTAGCAGTGTTCCATTGTCCCAGGATTTGATTGCAATTACAGGGAAATGTTATGATTACCGCAAGTTGAATTGTTCCTTGTAAGAAATTCATTTGGACAACTTAACCCCTTTTCTCTATTACTGAATTGTCCACAGAAGAATAATTCCTTTCATATTTGCCTGCTATTTATAACTACTGAATGCATAGTTTATGGAAATAATTTTCTGCCTGTGGATTGCCTCTCACCTGCTTGCAGCATACATTTTATTCAAAGCTAGATTTTGTTTCATCCTTATATGGTTGTTTATCTGCCCTCAAAAACGCACACATCTCATACAGAGGTGGTGGAAAACTCATCTGGCATGGGGTCAGGGACCAAATCAGGCCCACAAACCACCTTCATATGCTGGAGCCAGCACATGTTCTGAATTGGGCACTGTGTGCTGGGCATGTCCCAGAACAGCCTATCCAGGACCATACCATATGTGGTGCCTGCTCCAGGACTGTGGTGCATGTGACCCCTGCTTCATCCAGTCCAGCACTGAACCACACATGATGCCTACTTCAGCACAAGTCCATTCCCTATGGCAAGGTCCTTGTTCACGCGGGCACAAATGATGTGGCTGGGAGTAGTCCAGACTGCATCATGAAAGACTTCCATGAGCTGGGGGCTGAACTTAGGAAGTCGGGGGCACAGGTGGCATTCTCTTCCATCCTTCCAGTTGGCAGCAGCCAGCGGCGCCAGGATGTCTGCATCAGGGTAGTCAACCAGCAGCTCCAGAGATGGTGTCTTCGTGAGGGTTTTGGATTTTACAGCCATGATCAGCACGTCCAGGGAGGAGGCTTCCTGGGATGGGACGATCTTCATCTCTCTCCTAGAGGTAAGCGTCTGTTCTCCCACAGGTTGGCTGATCTCCTCCAAAGAGCTTTAAACTAGGTTCAATGGGGGAAGGGGAACCGGTGGTTGAGGAGAACCCAGGGTTGGCGAGCCACAAACAAGGCAGCAGAGCAACTCAGGTAAGCACTAAGGGGCACCAAGAGCACCCAACGGGGGGCTAACGTCTTTACACATGCCAGGAGTCTGGGGAATAAGCAGGAGGAGCTTACACTTTTACTTGCTAGCACTCAGTATGACCTAGTCAGCTTAATGGAAGCATGGTGGGATTCTATTCATCACTGGGCGGTAGGCATTGAAGGGTACAGGTTGTATAGGCGAGGCAAAGTGGGGGGGGGGGAAAAAAGCAGGGGTGTAGCTCTCTGTTAGGGCAGGGGTAGAGGAGGGGAATACTTAGGTATTGTGGGTCAAGATACGGGGGATCCAGGGGAAAAGAACTTGGTAGTGGGGGGGTCTACTACTGACCTCCTCATCAGGATGATGAGCTAGACCTGGTACTCTCTAGGCAGCTCTCAGAGGCCATTCAGGTGAGAGAGGTGGTGGTCATGGGGGACCTAAATTACACAGACATCTGCTGGGAGGAGCAGATGGCCAAAACAAACCACTCGCATAGGTTCTTAAACTGCATGCAGGACCTACCTAACCAAGGAGGTGTCCAGTCCCACCAGGGGTAATGCCTTGCTAGACCTGGTCTTAGCAACAGGGAACGATCTTGTGGGTAACCTGCAAGTACACAGTAACCTGGGAGATAGTGACTATCATTTGGTCGAATTCACAATCCAGTGAAGGGTGGGAAAAATAACCAGTGAGACTAAAGGGTTAGACTCAGAAGGGCCAATTGCAGTAAACTTAGAAGGCTAGTTAGTGAGGTGGCTGAACTCAAGAGCAAATGGGGGTCCAGGAGGGTTGGTGGTTTCTCAAGGGAGTGATCCTTGGGGCACAAAAGGAGACTATTCCATTATGAAGGAAAGGGGGCAAGGGGACAAAAAATCCCCCTTGGCTGAACAGGGAACTCCAGAAAAGACTGGGGGCCAAGGAAGAGGTTTATAGGCAGTGGAAGCGGGGGGGCAGCCACTGAGGAGGAATATACCTCCCTGGCGCGCTATTGCAGGGACTCAATTAGGCAGGACAAGACAGTACTGGAGCTTAGGCTGGCTACAACAATCAAGGACAATAAAAAGTCCTTCTACAGATACATAGTGAGCAAAAGGAAGGTGCAGAGTAACATAGGGCCCCTGCAGGACAAGTCAGGACAGTTGGTGGCTGACGCATTGAAAAAGGTGGAGCTCTTCAACGAGTCCTTCTCTTCAGTATTCCTAAGTATTGGCCAAGACAATTCCCCCAGCTTGAACATAGATGTCCGGGAGGCACTAGACCACCAATGGTTAGTGCTGACTTAGTTAAGGATCCCTTGGAGGAGCTGGATGGGTACAAGTCAGCAGGCCTGGATGACCTTCATTCATGGGTGCTGAAGGAATTGGCCAGTGTCATAGCTGAGCTGCTGGCATGACTGTTTGAGAACTCCTGGTGTTCTGAGGTTCCTGAGGACTGGAAAAGGGCCAACGTGGTGTTCATTTTTAAGAAGGGGAGAAGGGATGAGCCAGGTAACTTTAGGCCAGTCAGTCTTACCTCTATCCTTGGGAAAACACTATAAAAAAGTCATTAAGGAGTGCATTTGTGAAGGCCCAGCAGGGGAAATAATGCTGAAAGGAAACCAGCGTGGGTTCGTTACAGGTAGATCCTGCCTGACAAACCTTATATCCTTTTATGACCAGGTCACACTGCCTTAACACAGGAGCTGAGGCAGATGTCATCTGTCTGGACTTTAAGAAGGCCTTTGATACAGTTTTGCATACTATTCTCATAAAGAAGCCAGCAGGCTGTGGAGTGGACAATTACACAGTCAGGTGGGTGGCCAACTGGCTTAGGAACCACACCCAGAGAGTGGTGGTGGATGGGTCATCTTCGGCCTGGAAGGAGGTGGGCAGTGGTGTCCTGCAGGGTTCTGTTCTTGGACTGGTGTTATTTAATATCTTCATCAGCAATTTGGACAAGGGTGTGGAGAGCACCCTGTCCATATTCACAGATGACACCAAGTAATGAGGCAAAGTTAACACACTAGAGGGTAGGGAGCGGATACAGGCAGATCTAGACAGGTTGGATCAATGGGCAAGAATGAAACGGGATGCAAGTCAACGAAGAGAAATGCAAGGTACTCCACCTAGGGAGGAGGAATTCCCAGCACACCTATAGGTTGGGGGATGACCTCCTCAGCAGCTCAGCGGCTGAAAGGGATCTTGGAGTCATAGTTGACTCCAAGATGAACATGAGTGGCAGTGTAATGAAGCCATCAACAAAGCCAATTGTACCTTATTGTGCATTAGCAGATGCATGACCAACAGATCGAGGGAGGTGATGCTCCGCCTCTGTGGCATTGGTTAGGCCACAATTGGAGTACTGTGTCTAGTTTGGGGCACTGCACTTCAAGAGGGATGCGGAGAATCTGGAGAGGGTCCAGAGGAGGGCCACTCGTATGGTTAGTGGCCTCCGTGCAAGACCCTGTGAGGGGAAGTTGAGGGATATGGATCTCTTCAGCCTTCACAAGAGATGTCTGACAGGAGACCTGGTAGCCACCTATAAGTTTATCAAGGCAGAACAACAGGGAATTGGAGATGCGCTATTTACCAGGGCACCCCTAGGAGTAACTAGGAATAATGGGTACAAACTAGTGGAGAGTAGATTCAGGTTAGACATTAGGAAGAAATTTTTCACAGTAATCTGGAACAAGCTGCCTAGAGAGGTGATACTATCACTTAACTTAGAGGCTTTCAAGAGGAGGCTAGAAAGGCACCTGGTTGGGGTTGTCTGGCCTTGGTCCTCTTTCCTGCCCGGGGCAGGGGGTTGGACACGGTGATCCTTCATGGTCCCTTCTGACTCTACAATCTATGAATCATTCTATGCTGGATCCACCATGTGTCCCAAAAATGCTGGAGTGGGTGCTACGTGCATCGTGGTGCCATTCACTTTAGGATCTCACCATCCATTCCAGCATCAATCTGACTGCTCTGGGACATGTGCTGGGTCTGACATGGGGCAGACATGTGGTTCCAGAATGGTTGGAACAACACATCTGAGCTGTATGCTGTGTGTGGGTCAACTCTAAGACAGCATCAGCACTTAAGGTCAAATAAAAGGCTCCACTGGCCAGATCCAGCCTATGGGCTGTATCTTTGACACCCTTGCCAACAGGATAGCATTTAAGTTCCAGTGACAAGAACTAAACATAGTTTTAATTGTTAAACATCAGCAAGTTATTTTAGAGCTGATAGAAGTTAATTTTTTTGAAATTTGGATAAAATTTTTAAATGACAGCATTATTTTGAAGAAAAACTGTAACCTTTTTCTCCAACTTTTAGTTATAAGTCAAGCTACTTAACAGTCATCTTAAGAGCTGAGAGCCCCTTGAACTTTTCGACTCAAGGGAAGGTCATACACTACATTTTGAACAAGTGAACAGATCAGTGTGCGCACTATTCACAGGTCACTTTTTAGTCAGATAATCCAGTGCAACACATCAGCACATTTAACTCGATTTTCTTACTCTACATCTTTTACATTCTTTTTTCTTCTTGTCTTTCTTCATTTCTAATCTTTTCATATGTCCCCCTCTCTCCTTCCCAAATTCTTGGGTTCCTGATGAGAATACCTTGTAGACTAGGGGTCTGCAATTATTTTGGGTGGAGGGCCGCTTACAGAGTTCTGGCAAGTCATCGAGGGCCGCGTGACAGGCAGCCCAGGGCAGATAAATATTAATTTTTAAATTTTTTTAGGGGCCCTGCGGGCCACATCTGGCCTACAAGCTGCATTTTGCCCATCCCTGTTCTAGATTATCCTGTTAGTTCAATGTTGTGTGCTGTAGGCCAAAGTGAATTGCCTAATATATCAGACCTGTATTCTTCTCATCCATTAAATTAGTACTATGTATCTAATACTGCCCTGTACAATTAGTACTATGTATTTAATACTGCCATATTTTTTCGCATACCTTACCCCCAAAAATCAGCTGCTGAAAATTTGGATGCACAGTATCAGTGAAGAAATATAGTAATAGCAGTTTCAGTTCATAGATGGTATGAAGCCTCTCACCTCCTGTGAGGATCTGTGATGATGCAAGTTGCCTTGAAACAAGGGCAGGAGCAGGATCTCGGGTTTCAGGTGGTCACAGTTGCTTCCTGTTTGGGAAAATATGAAGATATTTCATATAAATATGAAGATTTCATTTTTAAAAATTGGCTAAATTCGATATCTTCCATGCGTCGGGTATCCAGGTTTAGCTGTATTGGTCTAGAGGAAAAGGCAATCAGGACTCGTAGTAGAGATCTTTTATTAGACCAACAAGATTTTTGCAAAACCGTTTTTCTTTATTTTGACTTGTAAATTCTGCTGTGGGATCTCATAAGAGTTGTGGCATGGCTGCCTTATTACTTCTATTTTCTTCTACAGGCTGGGTTACTTGATTGTATTACCCATCCACAATGCATCATATCTAGCCTTCTGGTGAGGTGTGGTAGATGTTTTGTATTGTTCAGCTATAATCAATTATTTATATATTTTTCTGATAGAATATATAAAATCAAATTGAAATATCTGTCACTTTGCTTGTTATATATTTTTAAGGACTAAATTTTCAAAATATTGCAGCGAAGTCATTGCATAGCTAAACATGCTTGCAATGTATAAATCTGTTGGATACATTTTTTTTAGAGCCTTTTATTTTATAGAGTTCCTTTCTCAGATGAAATTCCCATTGAAATGAATGGGAGTTAGACCTAGGTATAAGGTTTTTGCTCAAATCCTTCCCAGGCTAAAGTATAAGAATATGAATACAATATGCAATTTTGAATAGAGGAACACAATTACTTTTGCCTCGACATGCGGTTATACTTTGTATTTACCTTACCAACCAAAGATCTAACTGTAGCAGAATGGAACCGAGAGCTTGGCTTGAAATGTGATCAACAAAATGGAAGCTGCAAAGAAATTATTGCATTTTTAATTGTCCAAATTTAAAATTAAATGAATACATACCAAGTTACAGTGAGTGCAAAAACAGAGGCCACCACTGTTGATGTAAATTGTGGAGCTCCAGAGAAGTAAGAGCTGTCAAATAGTTGTATGACACCAGTGGAGCTATGCTGATTTTTCTGAGCTGATGATTTGTCTCAAAGATCTGATCCAAAACTCAGTTAGGTCAATGAAAGGAATAACATCAGTTGAGGTTTGGTCAGGATCTTAGTTTGCATTGAAATGCGACCTACTTTACAAAACTTGTCAGAAGTGCCAACATCAGCTTTTTACTTCAGATCAGACTCACAGTACGTTTTAATCTGTTTCTAATTAACCGTGTGACCAAACCCTGTGGATTAGTGTATCTTTTGTCATCTACATTCATAGTGCAGTTGAAAACAGCCTCCTGGCACAATTCCAGTGAGTTTCCCTGCTCACTCTTGTGAGGATTGTTTATTGGTATGCTCATCTATTTCAGCTATTATCTACCAAAGACAGCTCAAATCACCCTCAAAAAGCAATGTGCATACTTATCCATGAATATGTGTATTGAATTTTCCTTCTACATTTTGCATGGTGTATAGTAATGCTATGATCCATATTTTAAAATTGTACAGAATGCACACAACGAACCTGTCTGTCAGAAGGTTGTGTTGACCACTGGGCAAAGCTCTAAATATCAGTGGGACAAAACTTCAGTCGCCTATTCTGAAGTCAGATTTCATATGCCCTCTTATGACCGGAATGATAAAGCATGCTATAAGAAGCTCCTTCTTTTGGCTAACTCTTATGCATGTTAATGTTAAATTTATGTAAGGTAGATAGTTTTTGCTAATTTTTTTTTGTTTTTGTTTGTTTGTTTGTTTGTTTTGCATGGTGTTACGTGTATTAGATGCAAATGTATTCTTTTACTTCAAAGAGGCTGCTTCTGCACACAGGTGTTGGGTTTGGCATTTATTTAATAGCTTTCTTCCAGTTCTTCTTGTTAGCCCCTGCAAGGTTTTCCTGATAGCCTTTGAAGTACCAATATTTACTTTGGTAAGCAGCAGGAAGTAGAATAAAGGAAGAAATACAATAGGAGAAAATAGTGTTTGTACTCAACAGTGTGACAGTTGTACAACAGAAGCTTTGAAACAGGTGTGACACACACAGGTTCTGCACCCTGGGTGGTAGGCACAGGAGCAGTGGCCAGACCAGTGGTGGCCTCTGTTTTTGCACCCACTGTAACTCACTGCCTGGGATTCATGCCCCAGTTGCCCACTCTTAGTTACACTGCTGCTTTGAAAGTTATGTACTCCATAATTGTTGTTGCCAGTGACTACTTCTGTATTTGGGGTGATTTGCCAGCTGCATGTCATTTTTACAGTGCATGCTTGGATATGACTTTTCAGAAATGGTTTTGGGTCACAAACCAAGGCTGTTTTATTTTGTGAAAAGCTTTTCAACTCAAGTGACGTGGTCTTTTCCATTAGGAAATCTATATTGAGTAGCCCAAGAATAGATTGCATATTCTATAGATAATAAGTCTTTGTTCCTGGGACACAAATGAACAAGGAGCAGGCAAGAGAAGTTGTAACACAAACAGCAAAATCTCTTTGAGTGGCTTCCTTGAGTGCTAAACATTGCCCCCCTTCACTGGAACCTGGGCAGCAAAACTGAGACTATAACATGATATGGGCAATGTCACCTTTCATGCTTTCAACTTCAGTTTTAATTTTTTAATTCCCCATGGCCACTATTAATGTTGGGGGTTCTTGTTGCCTCGTGAGGATCAAGGACCACTATCCTAGTTCATGGTAATGTTACATTTGATGATTTCTACCATCCAGAAGGAGGAATTGCTATATGACTGTTTTTGTTTCCTTAGGAACCAGAATTTAAGCAGTAGGAGGAAAGGGAAGCATTTCTGTGAAAACACATAGCAGTTCATCTGCTTGATTAAAGATCCCTCTCAGAAAGAATCTGGACAGCTGGAGCTTGATTGGAAAACAGACCAGAGCAGCACCATCTGATGTCCTAGGGTGTATTCAGGTATTACATTTAGGCAAAGTACAGATGTTCAAAAAACCCATGGCTGCTCTGGTCTGTAATTATTACACTTTACTTAAAGTGCTATAAGTTAAAGTGGGAGAGAACTGAACTGATGTTCACCATTTGGTGGTGGTGGGGCTCAGAGGCTGCCACACTGGTGGAGGCATAGCTTCTAGTGTGTCCCACAGGCTCCCCAGGCTGCTGAAGCCACTCCTGATTGGCTGCTGGGCACAAGCCACCATGGACCCTCCCCTGTGCATAGCCCTAAGCTGACAAACAGTGGCTCCAGACCTTCCTCATGCATTGGGCCAACTTCATAAATGCCTGGTATATAGGCATGTGGCCACTTCTCACTCCAGAGAAGCAGGTGGTCATCACCAATATAAAGCTGGCCACCTGCAGCAGTTACCGCTATGTCATCAACCAGTTCAGTGTAGTCCATGACCAGGGAAGCTGTCTGGGAGGTGTAACTGGCCATCCAGGACATTCTGGCCAACTGCTTCATCTGCCCCATCAATCTGCAGGAAGTGGCCAGCAGCTTCCTCTGCATGGTCTTCCCCAACTGTGTGGGGGCCATGGATGGCGCACACATGTCCATCCCAGGTCACCCAGGTATTCATCAATGACAAGTGCTAAATCTCCATCATCCTGCAGGGCATCATCAAACTCCTGAGCCACTTAACCCACATCTTTGCCAGCTGGGTACACAGTGCCCATGATGCTCACATCTTCCACAACTTCCTGCTCCTGGTTTCCCTGATTTCATCATCAGTGATGTCATTATCCTCCCCTCACATTCATTGAGGACCTGATCGACCCCCTCCTGCCCTGGCTGATGAAGCCATGTGCGGGGCAGCTGGACTGCTGGAAGGAGCACTTAAACTACTTCCTGAGTAGGTGCTGCATGATGGTGGAGTATGCCTTTGGCCACCTCAAGGTATGCTGGTGGGCTGCTCTCAGTGTGTGCCTTGAAGTGGATGATTCATTCTTTCTGTGTGTCCTCTACAACATCTGTGAGACTAGGGGAGAGGTCTTCTCTGAAGTCTGGGCCAAGAGGGCAGGGCACATAAACTGGGCCTGGCAGTGCAAGCACATGTGGCATAAGAATGGGGGAGAAGGTGAGCCTCCTGCCAATTTTGGGGGGCTCTGGTCCTGCACAATCGCAGGCTGTCTAGATCTGTGAAGCCCTGGCTTACTACTTTTTCACTTGTGGACTGGGAGCCCTCCCTGGATGAGAAGAGAGGGATGGCTTTTCATGCCCCTGCTCTGGCACAAGGCCATGGATTTCCTGCTCCAGGCTCCTTTGGCCCTGCATCCGGGGAGCACTGCCCATAGTCCAGGCTTCCCTGGCACCATTCCCCTTCCCTTCTCTCCCTGCCCCGCCCTGATGCAGGGGAATGTGGCACATGGAAGTGATATGACTTAATTTAATAAAATGTTGCAGCTACTAAACTTTTCATGTGCTTAATAAAGAAAACTTATTGAATGTTGCCTATGATGGAACTTAGTTTCTTTACCCAATTAACACAAACCACAAAACTTTGGAGGCAGCAGAGGAAGAGGTTTGAGAAAGGAGCAAAAGAATCTGAAAGGAGTGCTTGGGACACAGAGAAGGAGGGAGTGGGAGGAAGGGGTTGGGGCCAGGGGGAATGACACACGGGCTGAACTCAACAAACATGAAACTTTGTTGGGGAGGCATGGGGTAGTGTGCTTTTGACCTGGTACCTTACTTTCAGGGGTTGGGTGTGAAGAATAGGGACTTCTCTGTGTAGGATTTAGACAGATGTGTGATCCTGGACCCACGGTCCGTTTTAGATAGCTGTTCATGGAAGAATGAATGATAAAAATATGCAAACATGTTTGGATGAAATAAGCCAGACTTGATAAAGGCTTTTTTTGTGTCATTATTATCTTGGCTCAGGTTTTTAGCAGGTACATACTCAGGCTGCTAACTGAAATGAAGAAACTACTTTTGTAAGTCCTTTGCTTTGTCCAGAAAGCTACAACAGAGCTGGTAACCACTAAGAGATTCAAAACACCATCAAGTTAAAATTAATTATATGTCTCAGGAGACTAACAATAATATTACCACCAAATGTGTGATGTTTAGCATGTGTGCTATTTCTATTAAGAATAGCATTTGCTATCTATCAATTGTTCTGGTAACCTTGGAATCCTCCCAAGGCTATATCTAAAGGGAAAAGGAGTTGGACCTTGGGCAAATTCGAGAGGAGGTTGGATGATCACCTGTCTGGGGTCTTGTGAACCCAGCATTCATTCCTGCCTGTGGCAGGGGGTCAGGCTAGATGATCTGTTCAGGTCCCTCCTGACCCTAGTTACTATGAAACTATGGTTGGACTTTATTTGGGGTTAGGAAGCAATTTTACCCCATGGTCAGATTGGTAGGCACTGAGATTTTTTTGTCTTCCCCTGTAGTGGGAGGAATTGCTCTCTGCCTGAGACCTTCTCTTGAGAATATATTAACAACCTTTTACAGAATCAGGATGTTGGCTTCCATGGTCCCCCTGTTTTACCTGTGGCAGGTTAGAGTGTTATGGCTTGTGTTGTATCAAGGTTGATGGCAGTTTTACTAAGACATTAGATTATGGATTTGTATAGGATGGTTTAGATAGGGATGATCCTGCCTCAGGCAGAGGGCTGGACTAGATGGCATATGAGGGTCCCTTTTTCTCCTACTTCTCTATTATTGTATGTAGTAAGAGGCAATGATTTGGCGGGGGGAGGGCAGTGATATTGTTAACTAGCAGGATTTTTAGCAGGAGCAGCCCAATCCTACTTTCACCAATCTGTTGCGATTTTAGCTCTTACCAGGAAAGGGGTGGACAAAAGTTAGCTCAAGGTGACCAGCACTGAGGTTTAACAATGCTGGGTAGGGTGCCCACCTTGGTTTCTTAGCATAGATCATGTGGTTACTCAAGATGCAAACACTACAGATTTTATTAATACAGGGGACTCTAACAAGATAGCAGACAAACTGGGATAACAAGGAACTGCAGGTTGATGCATTATTTAAAGAAGCAAGAGGAAGATACAGGTTAACAAAACAGAACTACAGTAACTAGAGGTGCACTGATACATCAGTCCAATATTGGATCGACACCAATATTAAAAAAATTGATTGTATCAGAAATTGGCCTGATGTGGCCAAAATGCCTGTGGGTGTATGCAGCTACAGCGCAGCACATAGACAGTGAGGAGCACAGCCCAACAGCTTGTAAGTCTGGTGTGGAAGGGGAGGGGAGAGGGACAGGGCATGGGGGGGGCAGATCAAAGCTACCACAGTGAGGGAGGAGTGGGGCTGGGGCTGTGACAAGTGCTGCCCAGCCACGGGGCAGGCATGGCAGAGCTGCGGCTCATATGGGGGGTGTGGGGAGGGGGATGGCTCCCACTGCTGCTGCTGGTCCACAAGCCACTGGTCTGGTGCTCACCCACT